TCTCGTTCTTGCTCCGTGGATATCTTTAATGGAGCATGCCTTATTGGGTAGAAGCTTCCACATGCATTCAACTTTTTCGTCTCTGTCCCGTGGACATTTCTTGAGGGCATGTCTTGGTTGACGATGCCAATGGCGATGTGTATGAAATCTGAGAGTGTGTTCACCAAAGCCCAATGTTTCATACCCCATCTATATTAAATAATTGGTAAGCTAAAAGGCAAGAAACACATTATTTTTTTTTTTAGTTTTGAAAAAAATACAACGACCACAATCATTTAGTTTGATTTAAGTGAATTTAAATTCATTTTATAATTGAATCTATTTAGACCGAAGTTATAAAAAAAAAAAAATAATAATAATTTTCTGAATTATAAATATATAAATAAAGGGTATGAAATAAATATAACCCCACACAAACCCAACTTCCTGAATTGTCATTTAAAAATCAGTTTCAACCACCCACAAGGTTTGACCCAAACAAAACCCTAAAAATTGAAATGTATTTTAAGTAGGAATAAAAAAATACACTTTTTTTTTTTAATTAACCTCAAACTATATTCAATAAATAATTAAAATGGTGATTTTTATTTATTATTTATTTATTTATGAAACAATGTATAAGGAAATGGATTTGATTTATATATAATTAATGAAAAAGAACAATAGATTTTATTCCTAGAGGTGGTTGAGGTAGTTGGGCGCCTTGTTGTGTGGAGACTCCATAGGTTTTATGGCATTTAGATTGTGACGTCATAAATTGAATTAAATCTCCTCTTCTACTAATAAATATTATAATATTATTATTCCAATTCACCGCCCATCATTTTTAATTGATTAAATAAAACAAAAGATTTAGTACTTTTTGGGAAGTGTAGTCAAAATTAATAATAATAATAATAATATTGAGTGAGTGAATGAATGAGTTAATTGATATTTTTGAAGTTGGCGACATGTCGTTTTGCAGGAAATCCAACGCATTCCTAGGCGTCGCCCATGGGAAAGAATTAATTAATTAAGTTAAGAATGTAGTAAGCAAATTGGTCCCGTAATTAGGAGTGTGATTAGACTTAAGCTTCCATTAAACCCGAACATGGTGGGTCTGAGTCTGGGTGATTAGGAAATAATTTAGAATTTTTTTATTATACTAATTTAAGAAGAAATAGAAAAAGAAAAGGAGGGCTTCTTTTTTTTCTCTTGATTCTGATCAGATTTTGATGTGACATATGTCTCCTTACTGTTAGAAGAATTACAACGACCTTTGACAATTAAATTCCATTTCAGAAAGTGGAATATATTGTGTTAATAAGGAGGAAATAAATAAATAAATGAATAAATATTTGGAGGTATCAGCCGCATAATTAGAGGTGATGGCAATTTTATATGAACAGATTGAGGCGAGATTTATGATTGATTTAATTTATTATTCTTATTCAACAGATACTACTCACTAAAGAACACCCGAAGAACCACTGTATTTGGGTTCACAAAATCAATGGGGGAAAACTTAGAACACAGGGGATTTGAAATTTGATGGAAAATGTTTTGTTTTAGATTTGGAGAAGAGGAAGAAAAATCACACAAGCAATGGGGGAGGTGGGGGTTTAATATTGCCATAAGAAAGCTTCGAAGGTTGAAGATGGAGGAGTTATGGAGTCTGTTGAAATCTGGTCTCTGAAGAAGCCATGGCTCTGTTCTTCATCTGCATTGTTATTCACTCTTTGATACCATGGGTATGAATACAGCCAACCTTCCACTGAGTCGACGAATACGAATTCGTTTCCCAACTCGGCCGTTTCGTAACTCGTTCCTAAACTCGGGAGCTCCACTATTTCACTCAGTTCCTCCGGCGTCGATGGACATAAGGAGGAGGAGGAGGAGGAGGAGGAGGAGGAGGAGGAGGAGGAGGAAGATGATGAAGGTGGGGGAGTTGGGATTTCCATGGAGGCGGCTTTGGCGGCGGCGGCTTGAACGTCGCGAGGGGAGTTGGAAGCGGGGCGGGGGAATTGATCGGCGAGTTCAGGGAAGTTGAGAATGGCGGAGTTTCCTTTAATGGTGAGAGCGGCAACGTCGTGGGCACGTGCGGCCATTTCAGGAGTAGAGAAAGTGCCAAGCCAGATCCGACTCTTCTTTCGAGGCTCACGAATCTCGGACACCCATTTCCCCCATGCCCTCATTCGGACCCCACGGAAGAGTGGGTGTTTGCTGTTGCTGTTTTCTCTGGGCCGTTTGGCTCGTTTCCCTGACTGATCGCTCTCCCTCAATGGAACCGTGGATAAACTCCCCGACGAAGACGGCGACGGCGACGGCGAGGAGAAGCTACAAGTTGTAGAGTCATTCTCAATAAGCAGGGGCATTGTAAAATGAAGCAAAAAACAAAAGATTCGAAGAGGGAAGTGTTTAGAGAGAGGGAGAGGGAGAGACGTGGGGCATTAGAAGTTAAGTCACCCCTACACGAATGGGTATAAAGAGGTTTATATATAGAAGGAGCCATCAATGCCCTTTGTCTCTGTAGCATTTACGATGCAGGAAGATTGTAATAGGAACGGTTGTACACGAGTACTCCTCCTCATAAATTTTAATAATAATATTAATAATATTAATAATAATCTCTCTCTCTCTCAGTCTCCACCCACCACCCTCTTTCCCATCATTCGTAGCCTATCTTTCATTTGTCTCTTACAAATAAAGATCTTAAATATCTATAAAATAAATAAATAAATAAATAATAGGAAAATATGATAATACTTAGAGGAGAAAGACGGTGATGGAGCATTGAGTTAGGGAGGTGAACCCTCCCAGGCTGGATTAGTCGTGTGGGTCAATTTTAGGGTTTTTTTTTTTTTTTTTTTTTATTTTTTTTTATATATAAATAAAATAAAATAAAAAGAAATTTAATATAAAAATAACGTAAAAATATATGTCTAAACTGGTTGAATTGAAAATAAAGCGTAGTATTAGGCAACATTTCCTTTTGTGTTTTAACCGTCAATTATTGGGAGGTGTTATTTATGTACAAATTCAATGCATTTTCTATTTTTTTTTTTCTTTTTCAATTTATCTAAACATCTCTATATAAGTATTTACAAATTAGTTAAAAAAAACATCCTTTTCAAAATTTTGTAGATATATATATATATATATATACATACAAAAGCTTGTGAGTAGATATTATTTATAGTAGACGTCAAATGTAACTTTGGATAAATATTTAAAAAAAATAATAAAAAAACCATGAATTTTTAAAAGAAATAAATAAAAAAGAGGCATAATTAATGGTTGCAGTAGTTTTGGTCTCCCAAACCAAAGCATATTGTAAAATTTAATTATATTCTTTTTCTAGTAATCGAAGTTGCATGAAATATATTTATATATATTTGAAGTCAGCCTTAGAGCTTAGAGGCCATAACCATACCATATCTTGAAATTAATAAAATAAAAAATTAGTCAATTTGTGTGTTTATTTTATTTACTTACTTTCTTGAGTTGAGCAAATCTAGTACTACTAGAATCATGTGCATTTAATTCCCACTCCACTGCCCTACTTACAATTAAATTAAATTAAATTAAATTACTAATTTTTTACTATGCCTACCATATTAAGGGAAGCAAAATTAAAAATAAATAAATAATTAGATTGTGGAAATTTGATAATTAGATTTGACATATGATTAGCCAACTCAAACAAAGAGACATATAATTAATATATTAAATTAAAAAAAATGCTAAGTAAATAATTAGGATAATAAATTTTGAGCACTAAAGTCAACATAGGTGATGAGTGTATGATGAATTGAAGTGTGAAAGAATGGTCCTTTTTAATCCTTCACTAATCCATCAACGGCTTACTAAATGTAAGAGGTTCATCAAACTATATAACTTCTAAATTTATGTAAATTTCTCAATCATAGGTACGAATTATGAACGAAAATATTATAATTATTTAATAAAATTAATTTCCTATATTATTTGTTTTAATGTTTTATGAAATACCAACCGTGTGTCGGATGTTACCATACAATTAATATCGAAAAGACTTGAAATCAAATAATTTGAAAAATGAATTGATGAGGCATATAAACACATACTCATTAATTATATTTCATTAAGGGAACATAATTTTGAGGCCCAAATATATACATATATATATATATATATAAATAAATAAAATATTTATTTGATGAAAGTAAGAAATTAATGTGGATGGTGATTGAAGCTCCAATATTGAAATAGTACTATTAGCCCATTAGGTCATGGATCCAACCCTATGATCCATTTAATATGTGGAGCCATCTTTTTTTTTTTTTTTTTTTTTTTCCAGGT